GGACCCTGAGTAACAAGATAAATGAGAATGAGACTGCAGAATATCAATCAGACATGGCAGCAGATTGGAAATAGGAGTAACACAGAGAAGGAAGACTTAGATGTCTTAGATTCCTCATAATTGCTAGTCTCACCATTTTTCTTTTTTTCTTTCTTTCTTTCCATCCTTCCTTCCCTCCTTCCTTCCTTTCTTTTCTTTTCTTTCTTTCTTCCTTCCTTCCTTCCTTCCTTCCTTTCCTTTCTTTCTCTTTCTTTCTCTCTCTCTTTCTCTTTCTTTCTTTCTCTTTCTTTCTTTTCTTTCTTTCTTTCTTTCTTTCTTTCTTTCTTTCTTTCTTTCTTTCTTTCTCTTTCTTTCTCTCTCTCTCTCTCTCNTCTTTCTTTCTTTCTTTCTTTCTTTCTTTCTTTCTTTCTTTCTTTCTTTCTTTTTCTTTCTTTCTTTCTTTCTTTCTTTCTTTCTTTCTTTCTCTTTCCTTCCTGCCTTCCTTTCTTTCTTTTCTTTTCTTTTCTTCTTTTTTGGCAGAGATGAGGTCTTGCTATATTGCTCAGGTTGGTCTCGAAATCCTGGCCTGGACAGAAGTGATTGTCATGCCTTAGCCTCCCAAAGTTTTGGGATTACAAGCATGAGCCACTGCACATGGTCAAGTCTTGTAATTTCTAAAAATGGGTCTAAAACAGCTAAATAAATAACACACATTTCCCTGTACTGTTGACCCTTGAACAACATGGGGCTAGGGTCACCACCCCGCTGTGCAGTTGAAAATCCATGTGGCATTTGTTGTTGTTTTTGAGACAGGGTCTCACTCTGTCACCCAGGCTGGAGTACAGTGACATCTTGACTCACGGCAACCTTTGCCTTCCAGGCTCAAGTGATCTTCCACCTCAGCTTCTCGAGTAGCTGGTACTACAAGTGTGTACCACCAAGCCAAGCTAATATTTTGTAATTTTTTGTAGAGATGGGGTTTCGCCATGTTGCCCAGGCTGGTCTCAAACTCCTGGACTCAAGCGATTGCCTGCCTTGGCCTCCCAAAGTGCTGGGATTATAGGCATAAGCCACCACACCTGGCTGACCTATGACTTGACTCCCAAGAAACTTAGGTACTGATACACTACTTTTGACTGGAAGCCTTATTTATAACATAAATAGTTGATTAGTGCATGTATTGTATATTATATATATCACATACTGTATTCTTACAGTAAAGTAAGCTAGAGACAAAAATGTTATTAAGAAAATCATAAGGAAGAGAAAATATATTTACTATTGATTAAGTGGAAGTGGATCATCACAAAAGCCATTATCTTTATCGTCTTCACCTTGAGTAGGCTGAGGAAGAGGAGTGGTTGGTCCTCCTGTTGCAGGGATACCAGAGGCAGACGAAGTAGAAAAGGTGGAAGGAGAAGCAGTAATATTCAGCATAGCTTTTCTTGAAAAAAATCTGCATGTAAGTGGACCTGCATAGTTCAAAACCATATTATTCAAGGGTCAGCAGTATACTTATGACCAAATAAGTAAATAATATAAAGTGAAAACATATATTTTATTTTCTAATAGTTTTTCATGGGACATCCCCCTTTGCCCCATTTTTTTTCCTCCCAATTCCTCTCTTATCACATCATCAGTTTCCATTCATCCTTGCAGTTCAGCCCAGGCATTGGATCTTATGACCAGGAGGATTTTATGATTGCAGTTGGAGCACTGTGTCCCCAGCATGCCTCCACTTTCTCTTTTTCATGGCATGGTAAACGTGGATTTACATCTGCAGCTCTGGTTAAACCACGAGCTGCTTGAGAGCACAGACCACAGACCACTTCTCTGTGCTTCTAGTACCTGGCACTGGGCCTGTCACGTATATGTTGTTTTTTTAATGGAAATGCTAGAGCTTAATCAGTTAAAATCTAAATACGTAACATATTAAAATAGACTTCTTTGATATTTGTCAATGAGGGAAGCCTAAAAGGGAATAAAATTGTTCCTCAATTCTGTGTTTTGTTTAAGAAGTCAAAGAAATACCAGCTTTTTGTTGCAAGTGGTTTTCTAACAAACATTGAAAAACAAGAATTCATTTTCTCAGGCTTGGCCTGAAAACTTACGAAGAGAACTAAGTACAAGTTATCTGAAGATTATTTGCTTTTCTTTCAAGGAGGGAGAAAACACAGTTGCCTGAACATACTTTTTTTTTTTTAAATACTCAGAGCTCATTGCTTGTGAGAGTTGAGAAAATTGTACTTTTGAGAATCAGGCTTAAGTGTTACTGTATAAGGAGAGAACTTAACTTTTGACTTATTGAGTACTATTTCTCAAAGGATTTTTAAAGTTCTCTTAGAAAAGGGAAAGGAAAACTGGTATTTGAAGTTTTTATTCAGGAAAGGATCTTTGTTCCATTTTACCAGTTGTTTTGGTACTCTAAGGATGTAGCTTTGAGTTCTCAGGTTCTTTAATGGTTGATTAAAGCAAGGCATACATTCCTCTTTAATTACTTTTTTTTTTAATGTGATCGATGAGACATTTTTCACAAGGTGTTAATTCTCTGTGATCATAAAGGAGGAATTTAATCTTATCTTTCATTTTCTAGGAAGAAAGTATAATCCAGAAAAAAACACTCAGTTACCTAACCCTAAAGTGCTGGGTAGATAAAGAGTGCTAGGTAGATAAACAAGATGAGGTTGTATAACATTGATATCATCTTATGATCAGGATGAGCCACACCATCTTGTGGCATGCTCAGATTTATGTTTTAGATAACATTAATCTAGGTCATTCTGAACAGGCGGTGTGGAATATGAGAAGAATACCAATCATGACATCACCTAAGATGGTGACAAGACCTGGAAAGAAAGATCAAACCAAGCATAGAAGTTTTCATCAATGTAAGGAATCAGAGTATTGGTAGATTACGTGAAGAGCAAATGAAGAAATTTGGGAAAATGTTGATGAGCCAGTTGAATTCTGACCTCATCTCTCAGCTCTGTGGTAGCAGGATATGGGAAGGATAAACAGTCTCCACTTGGGAGGAACAATGGAAAATGGGGAGCCAGGTTTCAGTAAAGGGTGCATTAAGTGAAAGGATGTTACCATGGAACAAGGTCCGAAAAGTTTGTATGTCATGTTTCTCAATCTTTTTAAATTTAACTCTATATTCCTTTTTGACATTAATTTATTCATTGATAAAATATTTATTGAGCATCTATTATTTGCCAGGCACAGCACTAGCTATCAAAGTGTACAGGGATGAGTGCCTAAGTTCTTGAAAATGGACAAGATATGTACTAATCATGTTGTATATATATTAGAGTTATATGAAGTATTTAGGAATAGGTGGCTATTTGGAGTTTTCAAGTTTTATAGGCTTTGCAAGTAGAACTTAGCCTGTTCATTGACTCAAACAAAGATGAAAATTGGTCCAAATAGAGATCTATTCTGTAGATCTCAAAAATTTCCTTCTATAGTCTCCCATTATAATAGGATATAAAAGTAAGATGAGATCTCTGCAGTGGCAAGAGGGTTTCCTAACTTTCAGATCATTCTAATTTGGGACCTAGGATAATACATTTATAGTTACCTTTTTTATTCAGTGGTTATTTATTCATTCATTCATTATATTACTGAGTATGTCAGCACTCTACTATATGCTAAGAATATAACAGAAGACAGATAGATAGGATTCTTGGTCTCATGAAGTCTGTATTCTATAAAAGTAGTCATTTTTGAGAACTAACTCTCTGCTAGGTACTCACATATATCTGTAATCCTCTGACAACCCCGCTAGGTACGGGATAATAATATCCAGCTTTATAAATGTGAAAAATCAAGACTGTGAGAAATTGGAATTAGCTGACTTCAGCCTTCCCAAAGGAATGTTGTTGTCAAATACATGCAACACACCATGCTGCCTGCTGCCTTCCAACATATACTGAAGGCTACTATGTTAAGCAGAGTTTTGTGTTCGGTGTTAACATAAGGGTAGATAGAAAAGAAACGAGGCCTGGTTCTCAGAGAGCTTACAGTTTATTGTATCACAAAATCAATACTAAAACTTTAATAGAAAAATGAATAAAGGAAAAGAACAATTTACACTAAAAAACTCAAATAGCTAATAAATGAGAAACATTGTGTTTTACTTACAAAGAAATGAAAGTTAAAATAATGAGATACCATTTTCACCCATCCAGACAGAATGTGTTTTTTGATGGTGATATTTAGTGTGTAGGTGTAGTGATCTCTCTCAAGTGCTGCTATTAGAAGCATATTTCTTTGAACACCTATTGTGGAAAACAAACAGTATTTATCAAGAGCCTTGTAATGTTTATGCCTTTTATCTATGTGATCATATTTCTAGGTGCCTGTAGTAAAGAAATGGCTAAAAACTCACATCACATCATTTTCAAAAAGGCTTACCAGATTTTTGTTTGTATCAGGGAAAATTTGAATATAAAGTGCAGTCTAGATGACATAATGTTATACTGCCATTCTCAATAAATATTAAATTTGAAAAAAACAATGTAAAACTTTATATGTAATATTCTCACTGTGAAAACTAGGTATATGAATTAATAAATACATTAATTCAGAATTCATTAATAAGCCTAAAAGAAAAATATTGAGAGCAGTTATTTCTAGTTATGTAGAGGTGATCTGTATTTGTAACCTCATACATTTTACAAATTGCCTAAAATGAGTGATTATGATTATGCTTTTTGTAATAAGGAAATACTAATCGCCATTCTTTTTTACCCTCTTCTTTGACCCCTACATTTGGGATAGAAATTGAGATAGGACAGAGATTGTCAAGAGGTGATTCCCAACCCAATTTTCAGGGCTGTTCCTAAAAAACTGAAAGCACATTTATTTCCCTAGAAAAACATATTATTTATTTGATTTATTTTATATTTATAAAGCTAATATGGGACATAGTCAAATTTATATCTTATAAGCTCTTGGTATATTTCAGTCATTTCATTTCAGTACACACAGATATAACCATAGTACTTATTTCTTTACAGGTTTTACAACTGCCTACAACATGTGTTGGAAAGGGAAACTATGACTAACTTACATCCCAAGATCAAGGAGAAAAATAACTCATCATATACTCATAAGAAACAAAGAAATCAAGAAAAAGCACATGGCCAGTGTATTACTAAAGAAAATGATAAAGAACTTGAAAATGATGATGATGATGATCTAGGAATCAATATTACCATCTTCCCTGAAGACTACTGAGTTTTAGTTCTGGCATGTCTTGGTTGTAATGTTTCTAGTAGGTTTTATAAAGCTGCTCTTTATAAGAGTATTTTAGTTGGTTGAGTGTATCAGCTATTCAGAAAAATAAGATGTAATTTCTCTACATTTTAGAGAAACCTATCTTATAAAAATAGATAGCTTTTTAAAATAGCTTCATGTGTTTGCTCATTGAATATTGCCTTTTTTAGTCACGTAGAGATTCATTCCAAAAATAAAATTGTGATTTTTTAATGCCTCTCTCTTTTTATTTCTTTCAATTTCTACTTCTGCAAAACAGGAAAACGAAGTATACCTTTTCAAGAAACCCTTAACGTCAGAGATGTTTAGATAAAAATCAAAATAACGTTTTATTTACTATTAACTTTGAAACCTCCAGCCTTTAAAGGAGGGGTCAAAGTTTGATTCTGTTGCCACGGAGTCCAATGAGAAGTTTTTTCCTCCCTTCGGACCTTGTGGATAAAACAACTGATACCTTTTTGTTCAGGACAAAATATCTGAACCCTCTCTCCCCAGTATTTTTCATGAACTAGAGCCTGCCACTGACACAGTCTCTGTGAAACACATGGGCATAGTTTTTCACTAAGCCTGATCAGAAATGACTACTAAGACCAAGCATCCTAATAGAACAAATGTGCAATGGAAAATTGTAAGGATCAAAAGCCTTTGGTTTGAATTCTAGCTTGTACATGGAAGTTCGAGGTCCTTGAGCAAATCATTTAATTTCCTAGGGCTTCTATTTCCTCTTCTACATAATAGCAATTCTATTACCTACCTTATAGGGATGTTGCCCCTATCAAGTTTTAAAATATGAAAGCATTTATTAATAGATCATTATGCATATGCTACTATTTTATGTGTTTTCAGAATGTACCAAGTCATAAAAATATATATTTAAAGGGAAATTACTAAGTAGTCATACAACTAATAATTATAAAAATACCAGAGTGTCAAATAAAAATTATATAAGGTAGTGAACATTATTTTGGACATTTCCTAATAATGTTATAGTTATCTAAGTTAACTCTATATAAATTAGATTTGCCCCCCAATGGCTTGCCTTCTAACAGGTATGAGTTGGTATTCTCATTTTCAAAATTGGTAGAATTCATGGACATCTATTGTCCTCTAAATAAAATGAGAGATGGTGTCTAGATAGCTCTGAAGTTATTATAAGGTTTTTTTTTTCTTATCATTGTTCTGAACTGCTGGCTTTGGGGCCTATAAAATAAGATGCTGATGTTTACTGACCTAATTTCTTGTGTTTCTACAACATTTAGGACGTCTTCAAACACAGTCTTTGTTTCATTGTTTGAGAAACAACTTCCCCTGAGTCCTCAATCTCCTTGCTATTTTGCAGCATGTGGTGCTGTCAAGGGCTTCCTGAATGCTGTCTTCTCAATCACTTCCCTGTTTATGGCAAATCCTTGGTTCTTTTTCCCTCCAATACTTAACAGATTTCAACATTTATTGCATCTTGAAACAAATACAAAAAGGACCCAGGACTCTCCAGGGAGAGACACTAGGTATTCTATATATATACATACATATATCTATATATAAAAGGTCAGAAGTTTTTCTAATTGTAAACCAAAGGGTAATAATTTTGCAGGCATTACCAGATATCTGTCTTTGGCCTTCATCTTGCATTTCTTAATTCACCCCAGCCATCGCATTAATTCCAGTAGACTTAACCCATCAGACAGTGATTCCCAGCTTTTTTTCCCTGACCTGCCTCCTCAGCTTTGGCTAACTGCTTGATCTCTCCAGTAGAGCTGTTATTTTTTAAAATTTTTCTCTCTTGTTAGACTTCTCCCTTCCTGATTCTTTGGCTGTAGAGTGCAGCCCTTGGTTGGGACTTTTTTTTTTGTCTGAGCCCACTGACACTTTCTGGTTGCTGGCTTTTTCAGTGCCTATGCAAGGAGGAAAAACAAGACAGAACAAAACAGGAAACTTGCCACTTTGTTCTTCAGATCCCCCAAATCCCCATCTCGTCCACTTTCTTCTCTCTACCTGCCAGTGTTTGTTTTATATGTAATGTTTAAATAGAAGGAATAGAGAAAGTGTGCCTATTCCATCTTCCCAGAATCAGAAGTCTAATTTTAAGTAAGTATTGATAATATCTAATATCAAATTGTTGGGATACATTGTTGAGGACAGCTTTGCAAACCATTCAGATAGCCATGGATTCCTCATACCAATGCTGTGCCCATCTTCCAGCCTGTGTGCTTTGCTGCTCTTGCTTCAGGCTCCTGGATCCTCTCCACCCTAAAGGAGAGGAGGTAATGCCTGGAAGCCTGTTTCCTGCACCCCCTGCCAACCACCACACATACTCACACTCCTTATCTCATAGCCAGTAATGACAAGTGCAGAGCTTCAAACTATGTTGCCCAGAAATGGGATAAACTTGTATGTGCAATTGCCATCTAAGCTCTCAGCAGTACCTGGCTTATCCTGGGACTTCACCTGAAATTCTATGGTTATCCTTACTTTTTTACCAGTTTCTCCCATAAGAACCTACCTAATAAATCAAGTTGTTTGAATAATGTCTTACTCTGAAGTAACCTGACCTAAGACAGGTATTTAGATTATTTTGGATACATTTTGAAAAGGGATGACATAAATATTTTAAGTAAAAAGACCTTTATATAATAGTTGAAATTTTAATGCTGGAAATTAGCATTATAGTTGATATGCCAGAAATTGTATGTGGTTGTGATTTAAACTTAGGCTATAAATTAAATTAATAATATAAATACATAGTTTTAAAATTTCTTTTAGGGATATGTAACAACTTTTAAGTTTCACTTCTATAATATATATTGTTATAGGAACAAAGATGTGGGAATAATTGATTACAGGTGAGGAAGTACTAGAAGTCCAATTCAGGGAGATACCATTTCATTTAGGTCTAAAAGGACAAGGTATAAGTTCACATGATGGGAAAAAATCAGAAAACCTCTTGCAGACAGAGGATAATGGATCTGAGGCATCAAAAAACATGGTATAGTCAGTGATGGGGAATAGTCCAGAAAAGCTGAAACAGCATGTGATGTGAGTCAAAGTGGTTGATGCCCAACTGTGAAGAGCCACTGTAATCTAGCATGGAGGCAGACAGCGTTTCCTTATGGCTGCATATCAGAATTACCTAGTTAAGGACAAAGTATGGAGATGCTGCCTTACTAGGCCCTGCTGCAGATCTTCCAAACCAGAATTGCTATCCTGGAGCCTAGAAATCTTTATTTTTCAAACTCATCCAAGTGGTTCTGATAAAATCAGCTCAGCACTTTTAGAACCCACTGATAACAGACTTTCTCCTGTAGACAGCATCTGAGGAGGAATTGAAGATATTCTAATGAAAAAAACAGGATCACATGATTAGATGTTGCAGTGTACCTATGCCATAGATTTCGTGTGTAAATTTTATAGGAGGATTTGTAAGCATTTGTAAAAGCTTAGGTAAGTTATAGTCCTTCCCGTTGAGTCTCAGTCAGTTTCAGAAAAGCATGGGAACTTGTTCAGTTATGTAAATTGAACTCTGTACCACTTGGGAGGGAACATTCCCCTAGATGACAATATCAATGGCACTTGTTGAAGTTGTGCAGTGCACATTCTTATCTATCAACATATACAGCAGTCCTTCTGGGAAGGGAATTTTGGCAGGAAAGGAAACTCACAGTGTCAGAATGCCTGGAGCATTTCTTCTAGTGTAGTGGAAAGAATATGGAAATATCTGCCCAAGAGGGCAGTAAATGAAAAGAGAAGAGAAACAAATTTAAAAATTAAGTTATAAATAAGAATAGTAGGAAAGAGAGAGTGCACGTGGAATGAGCCTATCCTGTGGTGGAATGACAACATTCTGCAGTTTTAAAGTATCTGTAAGAGGCTCATTGACTTTGCTTCACTAGTTTAAATTGATGTCCAAGAGAACTATGTATTTTAAAGATTCCATAAACTGAATATATGAATGAGAATTAAGAAGAGAGGGGCTGCCTCCTAATCTGTTTACATAAGGTAATAGAACTACTCTGGACATCTTAGGTTAGTAGAGAGGAAGGAGACACCAGGTGCTGTCCATAAACCTAAGAAGACATTGAATCCCATTCACTCCTTAACATTCCTTAATATACAATCATGAACTACGTAATAACATTTCAATCAATGATAGACCATACACCGTATACCATATGGTGGTCCCATAAGATTATTATGGACCTGAAAAATTCCTATTGCCAGTGATGTGGCCATTGTAAAGCTGTAGAACAACACATTACTCACGTTTGTGGCGACAGTCACATAAAAGTATGGTACATACAATTATGTACAGTGCATAATACTTGATAATACGTTACTGGCTTATATATTTACTATGCTATGCTTTTTATCATTATTTTAGGTTATACTCCTTCTACTTAAAAAGCTAACTGTAAATCAGCTTCCGGCAGGTCCTTCAGGAAGTACCCCAGAAGAAGGCATTGTTAGCATAGAAGATGACAGCTTCATTTGTGCTATTGCCCCTGAAGACCTTCCAGTGGGACAAGATATGGAGGAGGAAGACAGATTCTGACCCTGTGTAGGCTTTGGCTAATGTGCGTGTTTGTATCTTAGTTTTTAACAAATAAGTTTAAAAAGTAAAAAAATAAAAAATAATAGAAAAAAACTTATAGAATAAGGATATAAAGAAATACTTTGTACAGCTGTACAATGTATTTGTTTTAGGCTAAGCATTACTACAAAAGAGTCCAAGAGTTTTAAGAAATTAAAGTTTATAAACTAAATGTTCATTGTAAGCTAAGGTTAATTTATTATTGAAGAAAGAAAAAAATTTAATTAAATTGAGTGTAGCCTAACTGCAGTGTTTATAAACTATATACAGTAATAGAAGGTTTACCCACAATATCCTAGGCCTTTGCATTCACTCACCACTCAATCAGTAACTCACCCAGAGCAACTTCTGGTACTGCAAGCTTCATTCACGGTATGTGCTCTATACAGGTGTCCTATTTTTTCACCTGTTATAATGGGTAAAAAGGTACAACTATATTTTAGTTGTATCTTTTCTATGTTTAGATATGTTTTTTTCTTTTTTTTTTTTTAATTTTTCAACTGCTCAGGGTTAAAAAGCTCATGGATTTCCACTTCAAGGTTAAATTCAGTGAGATATTCACATCATTGCAATAGATATGTTTAAATACATAAATACTTACCATTGTGTTACAAATGCCTACAGTAATCAGCACATTAACATACTGCACAGGTTTGTAGCCGAGAAGCAATAGGCTCTACCATGTAGCCCAGTTGTGTGTAATAGGCTATATCATCTAGGTATGCTATTCACAATGACTAAATCACCTTACAGCCCATTTCTCAGAACTTGTTTCTATTGTTAAACAACACACAACTGTTTCATTTATGTATTTTATTTATGCCTGATCATCGATATCAATAACTGAAACATAGCAGTTTAGTAATAATTTAATACACATAATAACCTTCCTATTGAGAATGGCTTTATATTTGTTTTCATTGTAGTACATTCATCCAAAATAAAAGGATTTTTTTTCCCTCCTCCAGGATGAAGGCAAGCATTTATTCCTAAGGTCTGGAGTCTCCACATCACCTACAAGTTAACTGCTTTTGTGTTCTAACAGAGAGAGGAAAAATAAAGTTGTCAACCTTATTGAAAACAAGGAGGGAAACTAAGAAATATGCTTTTGCTTTTGAGGTTCTAGGCCAGAAGTCATAAACTATATAACTTGACCAAGCTGTGGCCAATCAGATATGTTTTGTTTGGCCCACACAGAGGATATTCTTCCTAATTGAATCAACGTTTTAAAATATGATGATTTCATATTTAAAAATAAAAAGTGCATCTCTAGTTTCTTTTGTGTGTGTGTTTTTAATTGGAAGACCTGGCTAAAGCTGTCTCACATTCCCACAGGACAACACTTAGCCAGTCAAGTACTAGCTGCTCTTTTCAGACTTGTTTTCTTATTCACCACAGACCCCGTCCCAGCTACAGGCTCGCTGATACAACTGCTTCAATCATTTACACATCATTGGTCCCTGTGGCAAACTTTTTGGCAAACTTTGGTTAGATCTTTGAGGGAGAATTAAACTCTATTATTATGTTAGTATATTATATAATAAATAAGAGATTAGAGCAGGACCAGCTATATGATTTGCAAAGGACAGTTCAAAGTGAAAATGTGGGACCCCATAAAAAAAGGTCAAAGAATTACGAGATGGCATCAGCAAAGCACTAAATCAAGTACAGGTACATTTAAGCATGGGGCCCTGTGCAAACTGCACAGGTCACACATACATGAGGCTTGGTGTTTTAGAAGGAATGGGTTTTTTCCTACTCAACCGAGTGTTTAACCCTCCTCCCCACATTGAGAAAAAGGCAGAGTGCTGCAGGCTCTGTGATGTGCCAAGACTTGACACCTGCTCACATGTGGCACCCTTGGGTTCCAGGACTATGAGTGGCTGTTTGGAAGCCTGCAACGTTGGAACTTTTGGAAGCTAAGGCAAAGGTCTCAGTGGCTGACCTTAGATGGAGTAAAACAAAGTCGTTTTGAGAGCCACTTGATTTCAAATGTGAGCAAAGGCCATGATGAGAACCACATTTTGAAAACAAGGGATTCCTTCATTTTGAGAGGAGTTATCTAATTTCCTGGGTTAAGGGCTGAAGAACGCTGAAAAATGATCACCATCATTTTTCTTATAGATGGGTCCTTGGGCAGGATTTAATTTGATTAAAGTTGGGGGGAGTAAATACTATGCTCCCATATAAGGTGTCTAATAATGACTATTTTTTGGTTAGAATTTTTGGCCTTTTAAAATGGGCTTTGACCTTCAAGCCTCTTCTTTCCATTCTCTACTATGCTACTGTCAACATTCAGGCTTCACTAATGCAAAAGGATTTTAATACTCACAAATGCTAAAGTTTTTAAACCTAACAGTCCTTTAACACCCTGGGTTTTTATGCATTCTATCCTTGCTGAGCATGTCTCTCTCAGCCCTTTTTGGTTTTGCCTTTAATGTGGTTGAATGTCAACTATAATTCATCATACATTTTATTTAAATATTCATTTATTTTAATAACATTTTTGGAGCAGTTTTAGGTTTACATAAAAATTGAAAGAAAAAGCTCAGATAGATCCCATATACCTCCTTCATCGGCCCACACACAATTTCCTGTTATCTTATATATCCTACATCTTACAATAGTGTGGGGCTTTTTTTTTTTTTTTTTTTTTTTCAATTGATAAGGCAATATTGACATTTCTTGATTAAAGTCCATAGTTTACGCCTCTCTTCACCTCTCCTCAATTCTGTTCTCTCCTTCTGGAACTATTAGACTATTAGTCATGTATTATACCTACTTATGGGTGTATTCTCCATATTGTCAAGTTTTTTCATCCCTCTTCACCAAACTTCTCTTCATCTTTATGTGCGTCATTCTGTGTCATTGTTTAGTTAACTCACATCCTCTTCAGCTGTGTCTAATCTACTGCCTAGCCAGTCCATTGAGTTTTACATTTCAAAGATTATATTTTATTACTTCTAGTTCTTTGTGGTTCCTTTTGAAATAAAGGCAGATTATTTAAAGGTTCTAAGAATTATTTCTTTTTCTATATACTTTTTCCCAGATATTTCAATAAATTTTATTTACACAACCTTTCATACACTTGCATATTATACAAATGATCTACCTTCTTTAGCTATTCCAAGGATAATTGAAAAGAATGTCCTCACCACTACCAAATCTAAGCCATGCAAGAGGAAACAACTATTTCTCAATAATCAGATTGTTTACATGCCATTTTTATTATTTATTCATTTACTTGACAAATATTTAGTGAGCACCTACTATGTATCAGTCACCTGGAACAGGAAAAAGCTTTTGCCCTCATAGGGCTTTCCTTCTAGTAACATTATTAAAAACTTTGTATTGGCACTTGCCTCGGATCTTTAGTGCTCTTTAAATTGTACTCATCAATCGAGGCTCAGCTCAAATGTTGCCTCTTTTGAGAAGCTTTCCTAAATGCTCATTTCATAATTAACTTCTTCCATTCCTGCTTTTCCACAGCACTGTCTCATTACTATAAATACATAGCATTTTGTTTATACTTCTATAACCACACAAACCAAGGAGTCTCTTGATGGTGGTGATATATATATATATCCATCACCACCATCCTATTAAACTTTGACTAACTGAGGAAGAAAGCTATTTTTCCATCATTTTTATATCCCCAGTGTCTTGGACATTGTCGTTTTTTAACAAGTACTTTCTATTTTGATTTGTAAATACATTTTATATGCGAGAGTTCAGGAATATTATCTAGTTTTTTATTTTATAAGCAAATGACAAAATCCCTAACCAAATTCTATTACTATTCACTTCTTAGAAGATTCTTGAAATTGATTGATAAAGTTAAATGACCTAAGGTAAAAAAAAGATGCTCAGAATTCATTAAATATGTACAAAATATTTTTCTTTATATCTGACAAAATATACAAATTTCCAGATGTTAGTATGCCAAGATATACCTTGTGACTAAGTGTACTAGATCTTGTCTTTCTGTTTTTACACCAAGCCTTTTGAAAGCCTTTTTATTTTTAAATAATTTTTTTATTTTGAAATAATTTCAGATCTACAGAAAAGTTATAATAGCCCAAAGAATTCCTGAATATACTTTGCCCAGAGTGACCATTCTCTCTCTTTCTCTCTCAGATATAGACATATAGTATATATGAATAATCTCACATAAATATATAAACTTTTTAGAGTAAGTTAAAGATATTTTACTCTTTACTCTTAAATATTTCAATGTATATTTCCTTAGAACAAAGGCAGTCTCATATAATATCAGTACAATTATAAAATCAGAAAATTTAAGTTATGCAACATAATTATATAATCTACAAACCTTATCCAAAGGTCATCAATTGTCTCAATGATATTCTTTGTAGGACAAACTGAATGGCATTTTGTTTCACGTTTCTTTAATCTTGTTTAGTAGTACATAATTGGTTATAAGCCTTTGTCTTTGATAACATTGATAGGTTTGAAGAATACAGGAAAATTTAATAACCATCAATTTATAGTTTTTTCATATTTATTTTTAACTAGATTCAGATGATGCCTTTGGGGCAAGAATATTATATAAATGATGTGTTCTTGTCAAAGCACGACTTCAGTAGGTACAGGATTTCAGTTTGTCCCATTACTGGTTATCTTAACTTTGACCTTTTGGCTGAAGTGGTGTCTGCTAGATTTCACCACCATAATAGTAATTTTCCCTTTTATAATTAATAAAAAAGTTGTAGGATGCTCTACTATGAGAATATGTAAATCACCAATTTTTATCAATTTTTTACCCACTAGTTTCAGCATCTGTTGATTATTCTTATCCAAATAAGTTATTATTATGATTGCAAAATAATTATTTGTTACCTCCATTATTCCTTCTACATTTATTAGTTGGCATTCAACTTTAAAAGACAGTTTCACTTTCACACACTGTTCCCACATCAACTAACATATGAACTCATGGAATTTTATTTTATTCAAAAGGTTACATTGCTATCATTATTTATTTTCATGTTCATATTATTCCAGATTTGACCAGTGAGAGTCCTTTCAAGTTGACCCTGTCTACTTTTAACATGCCTTTTTCAGTTTTTGAGCATTTGGGCTCATCTTGTACATTTATTGCCCCAGCCATAGAATCAGCCAAAGAACCCAAATTTGTTTCAGTGGGGACTGGCATTTAGAAACAAAATTCCTAAGCAGTAAGTGTGTTCATTTTCTCTTTT